GTGCAATCTGCAAGGCTTTCTAATAGTTAAGGTTTTTGTTTTTATTAGATAATTTGTGTTATACATGTACTTGTCTTGCCCCACCACGAGTAGCTTTCCAGCTATTTGCAGGGCAAACCATCCAACTTTTGTATTCTTGTACAAACAATAAAGTTGTTGTTGTTGTTATTTGTTTCCCGAAGACATGACCCCCTAGATTAGCATAGCTACCCACAATAATATTGTACTTCAATTGTAAAATACAAATAAGATGTATGTATGTGTGTATGTATGTATGCACTAGTAAAGTAAACAAAAAAAGGAAGTGGCCATGAATTTAATATTATGTCCCCATCCCACTTACAAGTGAGTACAGCCAACCACACATCAACTCTAAAACACTAACATTTACATGTAATATGTAACTGATGTGGTTACCATGTATGAAAAATGATATTATTGTTATTATCATTATTATCATTACTATTATTATTAATATTAATAAAGTAGTTGGTAGTGGTAGTAGTAGTACATGTATCTACATTAATACCTACTTCCCTACCTGTGCACAATGCTCTAAAATTGTCAGATGTCTTAGGACAGATGTCAGCAAACAGTTCAAAAATAATCCTGCCAGCTACAAAGAATGCAAAATTGATTCTTAATTTAAATCAAGCAAGATTTAAAAGTTTTAGATTTGAGGTTCTTTCAAACCTGCCTTCCTATGTACCCACCTACTTCTCTCTCTATGTTACAAGAAGACTGAGGTTGCTCATTGGAAACCTTATTGATTTCAATCAATTGGCCAAAATAATCCATAAAAAATATTAGATTATCACAGTGTTCATAGGCTCAAATCATTAATTAAGAGAAGTACGCATTCATAACCAATGCTGCACAGTCACATTAATTTAAGTTTAAAATTATAGAAATTGATTAAAATCAAAGAGGCAAAACTTTTGCTATATTAAGCTTAATAATAGCTTAAGCTTATAATTGATTATTTCCATAATTATTATTGAGTTATAGCCTGAATTTCAGCCGCTTCTCTTCCCAAATGACTTGACTTTGAAAAACAGCAGCCAATGCAAACATTTAATCCGAGGAATTTAACGTTTCTTACCTGGACATCCATTTATTTGAACATCAAAGAAGCATCTTGGCCGATAGCCCTTCGCTTTGGGGACAGCCATCTTGAACAATTGCAGCCTTTTCGTGTATGCTCACACGAAGAAAATTATTACCCGAGAGGAAACATGGGATTTTCTACTTGTTACAGGGTCTGCTGACCAGTTGATGTGCAGATGCAAAAACAAAATGGTGGATCTGCGGTCACGACAAGTTTACAAATGTTACACTTATTAGATCCTGGATAAACTACACCTATTACATTTGCTACTCGTTCCATTCACTCTTAGAGAATAACATGGCTCACGTTACAGTTGATTGGAATCCACTTGGAAAGGTATTTTATAGGTAAGTGGTTCTTTTCAGATTAGACTGTCTCCAAGTTGTGGCTAGCTTCCCTGTATAATTTATCTTTAAGCTTACATTTCTTTAATGAATTAGTTGAGAAAGTGAAAATAAAGGACCAAAGCATTTTCTTCTCTTGATAATATGTTGATAATAAATGTTAAAGTTGGTTTTGTTTTGGACTTTACAAGATAAGAAGGAAGTGGCAAAGTTCCGAAAAGCGATCGATTTAAAAAATGTTGGTGCCAATAATTGTTTAAAAGAGGCGAGTGTAATTTGAAAAATTACATTACGTACGCGGACTTGACGGATGATATATACTTTCAGCTGAACTTACTTCTAAAAACGAGTAATCACTGTAGGAGTTCCATTCTCGGTTTTCACTCACTTGAGAAAGGAGAAACAAAAATGGAAACCTTTTACATGTAATACAGAAAGTCATGGATAATAGAAAGACAGGCTTTCTATTATCCATGAGAAAGTCCCCGTATGAAACTTGCAGCGCTGTACAGCGCCACAAAATCGCTTCAAAATAGCTGTACAGCTAAATTACAGCTGTTTAGCAGCATTTTAGAAGCCAAACAGCAGCGTAATTCAAGTTGCAGCGGGATGCAAAAGCACTGTGCAGCCTCTGAAGCTCTGGGCAGCAGTTTTGCAGTGCAGTTGCCGACTTTCAAAAGCTTCGAAGTAGCTGCAGTAACGCTACGATTCAGCTGCTCTCGATCTGATAGCACAACGTTCTTGAGATAACATGAATCGCCAGAAAAGCCTTGCCACAGATTACAGCTTTTATAACGAGAAAACTTTGACTGTACCTCTAAGAAATGCGAGTAAGCTTGTGCGCAGGGAAGATCACTTATTGAATAAACCTACAAGTTCTATGCTTTTGGAATCAAAGATTTCAATAAATTTCATTCCGTGACTGGCGAGTGTGGGAATGTTATCGCTAATTCCCTGGAGACATTCTAGGCTGTAATCTTATTGGTCGGCACTTTTGGATAGATAAACATTTGTGACAAGTTGCATTTTGACTTTCTAGTGGTTTTTACTCCTCCTAAGGTCTTGTCAACTCCTCTACCATGTTTCATGATTATTTTATTATTGCAGTCTGTATTTCTTTTTTTTTTTTTTACTAATGAGTGGTAGGCCATTACCCGTAACAACATTCTTTCTCTTTTGGAAGCCACTCTGCAGCGCAGATCATGATTCAGGAATTTTCTGCACGGCTGCAACAGCGCTGTTTATCGCTGTCAAAGGGCTTTCCACTGCAGTGCAAAACAGCAAAAATTTACTACTGCTGCAGCCAGCCCTTTTTACAGCTCTTTTGTAGTGCTTCTTGAAGTCATTCTGCAGCGCTGCAGCAGCGCTGCTCGTTTCGTATGGGTCTAGAATCTGGGAAATGAAAGAAGATAAATATACAAAAAGCCTTGCCAAGAATCAGGTCTATGCAATCGTTCATATGCGAGATATTTGGAAAAACGTTTTACCCAAATTTGTAAAGCTTTGTATGGAGATGCCATGTTTGTGTCCCTATCATGGGCACAAATATGGCCGCCGGAAACCAACAGAAACATCTGTTTTTGAGTTTTCCTACTTATTCGTGAATTCTTTGCTTGAGGAACTCATGAAGATTAAAGTAATATTCATTCTAAGACAAGAAATGTTTAAATAGCAAAATCTCCAAAAATACATAATGTTTTTAACCCACATAAGAGCTTTCCCGGCCGCCAGCTAAATGCCTAGTCCCGCAAAAGCCTGGAAATTCAAGCGTCCGTTATCGCAAAACAAAGAACCCTTTTGAACTGAAAATTTTTTTTGTATAAAGGTTTTAAGGTGCTCTAGTATCACATGAAAGTAGAAACTCAGAAGAAGTGATAGTTTCTTAGTTTGATTTTGGTGACGTCATGTGAAAACCAAAAATAGAAATTGATAGTTCATAGTACAAAGGAATGTCACAATCCAAAAACAACATTAGGAGGTTACCCTTGCATTAATTTTTTTAGAGATAACTGTACTTTAGTAAACAGCCATTTTTCCAACAATGAATTGAAAAAAAATCAATTTTTTTCCACATTTGCACAGGCCATTTAATAGCCACAACCCCTTCGGATGAGGTGAGTTGACTATACCCCTAAGAAAAAATAAGTTCAAAAGTGCAAACACAGTACCCCCGGGGGGGGGGGGGGGGACCCCATTAGAAATAGCCCTTTTTTGCCCAAACCCCTCAGAAATATCCCAAAATTAATATCAATGGGACCAAATCTCATCCATAGGGAGGGGGTTGTGGCTTTTAAATGGAATGACCCCACAAATTAAATGGCTACATGACAACTTCTGCTTCTGCTTTTTTGCTGTTGTTGCTAGCTTTTTCTTTGCAAAAAACATTGAAACAGGGTAGTTATCAGCAGTGACAACTGTCCATGGTTCTGTGATGTTAGATGTTGCAGATGACACCTGTGAGATCTTTGGAATTTTTTACATCATATAAAATTCTACATATTATTGTTTTATTATTCATTCAAAATATTTCCTCCAAACTGAAGACATCCTTTAAATACCTCTATGTAAAATTCCAGAAGTCAAACATCTACCTGTTTTTTACCAGTTCCAGATTATGAGGGGATATAATATACTTGCTCATATTCTTCAAATGGTACTTTTCAGTGTCTTTGTGTGTTATTTCAAAGTTTTTAAGGGAGAAGTTCAGGAATGTTAATGAGGTTAAATATACTTACTTAACGTAGGTGCTTTGGCTGGGGCTAGGTGTGGCTGGTGGGGCTCGTGGCTGGGTTGTAAGTAGGGCAGGCTTGTGGGGTGTTCTTGCTACCTGGGTTAGGGGTTGGCGGCTCCATTCCCTAGGTTCTACCTGTAGGCACCTAACCTCCATGTGCGAGTCAGGTGTTAATACCCATAACATAAGAAATCTTCCACCATTTACTCTTGGCCTTTATCACCAAAACAGCCAAACCATCACTCTGCTTCTTTGCTTGATTTCTGTGTATCCTTTTCCAGTTTGGAGGTGTGTCTGACAGAATGGTTAACACCTTGAACTCCAGATCTGGAGGTCCAGGGTTCAATCCTCGCCTGTCAAATTGATTCCTTAGACATGGAACCTTACTCCACTTTGTCGCTCTTCACACAGGTGTATAAATCGATACTGCCAACACACACTGCCAGGAGGTAACCATGTGATGAACTAGCATCCCATTAAGGGGGGAGTAGCATGCTTTATGCTAAGGAAACTGGGAGAAATTCCAGCCATTTTGGGCCTTTGGCTTGTGTGTGCCTTTAATCTTTTTTACCTTTTCCAGTCTGAGACTTTACTTTTGACACCAGCCTTTAAATCAAAGCAAACATCTTTCAGTTTTGGAGAATAACCAGCTGGCGTCCGAAAAGAAATACTCAGGCAGCCATGGAATTTAAGCAAATCAGTCAGGGATGGAGAAATATTTTAAATGTACACCCTGTATCCATAATATATTGAATTACAACAAAAGTTTCCGTCACAAAATGTGTCTTTCTTCAAAAGGAAAGTAGAGCTGTACAGTATGGAGTGGCAAGACACTGTGGATCTATCCTTGTTTATTGTGAGTGCGGCACCTTTTGGTGGTCCTATAGGTAAGTACATCAGACTTCTTCTAAGTGTTTTTTAACCCACAGGATGTACAGACAGGATTTCATCTACTTGCATTAATCTTATGGTAAATAGCCCCCCCCCCCCCCCCCCCCCCGGAAAGATGTATTTTTAAAACAAAAAACCCCCCAAAAAAAAAGTAAATCTTTTTTTTTTTTCCTTTCTTTTTTTTTTTTAATTGGTGGGGGGGGGGGGGGAAAAAAAAAAAAAGAGAAAGAACGCCACGAGACCACCGAACAAACAACCACCACACATCCCCTCTCTTCGTGAAAAAAAAANACAAGGAGAAATTTGATGCTGGTCACCCTTAGGGCTTAAAGGGTTAAGAGCCAGAACCATAGGTCTAAATGATCTTAACAGCACTGTAAGTACCGGTATTTGTAAACAGTTGATTGATACAAAAATTATTTCTGTGACTGTTGCAGTTATATTTATAGCAGCAAGAGTCCATTATACAGCAACAGTCACAGAAGTTTGTTTCAGTCAACTGTCTGTACATGTCAAGGGATTTGGCTGAAAATAATTGAAACGAAGAAAACAACTCTGAAGAACATCCTGCTTCTTATTATTAATATTAGAACAGCTAGTGCATAAAACATGCAATTAATAGTTATACAATATTATATTTTTCTACCTGCAGTCCCATGTTGCATGTAGATGTTCAACAGTCAGTAAAGAGCCACTTAGTAGAAATGCTGAATAAAGCCATTATTATTATTATCTCTTTTATCACAGTCTTTGCTGGTGTTCTTTTTGTGCATCAGCCGGGCGCAAACCATGCACCTAGAGCATCAGTCACTCAAGTCAATCATTCTGTTCGTACACTGAGCACCTTTCTGAGATTTGTGCAGATCCCAGCATGCAGATCATTTGAATCTCTGTCATAGTAGCTCTCTCTGATACTTTCTTGATGTTTTCTACCATACCCTTCTTCACTGTACCAAGCGCACCAACAACCACAGGGATCACTACGGTTTTCGTATGCCACATTCTCTGTATTTCTAGTTCTAGGTCTTTGTACGTGCTTTTTTTTTTCAGTTTCCTTCAGTGCGATGTTTCTATCTGATGGAACAGTCATATCAATCAGTTTGCAGGTGGAATACACTGAATCTTTAACAATGATGTCTGGTCTGTTCGCTGTTATAGTTCTATCAGTATCGACTGGCATGTCCCACATGATGGTGATGTTGTTATCTTTATTGTGCATCATGGTCTCTGGCTCATGTTCGTACCATTTGTCTGTAATTTATTATTATTATTATTATTATTATTTATTTATTATTATTATTATTATTATTATAATTGAAGAGCTCCATGCTGAATTGCCCTCTGTCCCTGTGGTGCTATATTTGCGATGATTAAAATTTAACCAGGTTTAATTTCTAATGCATACTATTGCTAATTGCTAACTCATGTACACTTTTACATACATGGGGTGGGGGAGGGGGGAGGGGGTGAGGACATTAGACCTGAACATTTACATGTCCTGCTCCTGCAGCCCCCCTCATTTCCTTTTTGGAGGGAAGGTTTTTATTTGTTTGTATTAAAAATTTTCAGCTCTGATAAGAGATGACAAGCATTTTGCTCGAGTCCAAGGATCAGCTATTAATAAACTCATCATTCACATTTTTTCCTCTGCTGGAAGGGAACTTGCCACAGTTAAGGTATGCATCCTCCTGCTTGTTGTTTAATTTGTGAACACAGACAAAGAGAAGCATTGATCAGGCTGAGCAGGTCACTTGTATGGGTAAAGCTTGGTTCCTTGAAATTCGTGGGTCTCCAAAAAAGTTTGGCCCAATCTCAAAATCTTAGAAGCATTTCGGATAGGTCTCCAAGTCTCGTTTTTGGGAGATTTTGCTTCTCGGAGTCTTGAACTTCACACAGGAAAATAAATAATATTAGATGGGCCAGCTACTGCAGATGAAATTCAAACCAAAAACAAGAAGTATGATACCCAGCGAAAACATATGTTTCTTCCACAAAGGAAAACAAAATGGCCATGGCTGGAGTATGATGAGGAAAAGGGCGTAAAGTTTTGCGAAACGTGTCACAAAAAATATCCATTGTTAGCAGACAAGTCTTAAGACTGGTTCACATTGCAAATGTGTACTGGGCTAGAGCTAACTGTCAGGCTCTGGGCTAGTAAAGTAGGAAATGCCAGCTAGCCCACAGCTATAAATACTTCCAAAAAAATTTCAAGCCCTGTGTTGTCACACAATGCTCCTCCCCACCTCCCTTTGTGGGGAGGAGCATTGCATGACAGCACCAAAAATGGCTGTGAAACAGGCTAGTATATCACTGCATGGGTCAACAAGACCAAAAACAAGTATGTTCTACTTCTGTAGGCTATTGATCAAGTGTTCTTTTTTATTCTTAGTGGGATGGAGGCCCCATAATTCAGATGAGATGGTCCGTCACAGAGGACCTACTTTGCGTGGCTGATGATGGTACCGTAATGGTGTATGACATTCATGGCGCAATCAAGAAAACCTTGTCAATGGGACAGGTCAGTGTTAAATCATTTTGCATCATGGAAAGACTGAAAAAGAAGACATTATACATGTATGTTTGTAAAGCACCACTGCTTGACTACTTCTAGTTAACATGAAGCTCCTCATGATCTTAGCCGATTGATGCCATATCTTATGTCAGTAAATTCTTTAACTACCCCAAGTAAATCAATTTTCTGATAAATTAAATAATCACCAATTTTTCCATGACCATAAGCAAAATACTTGTAATTTATAGAAATTATATCATCATCAAAAACAGAAGTTGGGGGGTTGTACACTAAATTAAAATAGAACTGATACACATTCATACACTTTCTGTAGTAAAGGCATAGCCGTTGAATATACCCGTATGTTTTGTATGTTTTAGGTCAAAATTTCAATTCAGGTCAAAAGTTTTTAGCCTTGGTTGATTCTTTATCTCCTTTGTCTCCTCGTCCTAATTTATTCATGAATTAGGGCTATGAGACAAAGGAAACTGAGAATCAACCTAGCTTAAAAAATTTTAATCTGAGTATGATTTTGACCTGTAACATATTTACATTTTGTATTTTGCTTTTACATGTGGCCTTATCAAATACATGGCAACTTCATTTTAAGATCTGGTGCCTTTAAGTTTGGTATACATAGGAGACAACTGGAAATTTGTATCTGCATTTTTTTGTAGGATGCCAAGGAATCCAAAGTTATTGACTGCAAAACCTATCATTTTGCCGGAAGGACTGGCATAGCTATCCTGACTAGTAATTACCACTTTTATGTCGCAAACAACGTGGAAGAGGTCAGGAGTCGGCGGTATTATGATCCACCAGGTAAAAAAATTGATAAAGTTCAGTGTTTCAAAGAGATTAATAATTCTGAAGTTACATGTTCTTCTCACATGCTTTTGTGATCTAAAGAACTCAATATCTGCTTGTGTTTCACTTTCCTCTCTTGGTGATAAGTTTGAACTGGATGGGGGTTTTCACGGGTTTTTAACTTTAAAAATCATCTCTTTCTCGGTTCGTAGGGACGAGTACAAAAGAACCCTGGGAACCAGATTATTTACGTAGGTTTGTCAATATTGGCAGGGTCACGTCAAAGGTGCTTTACACCAGTAGCCCACGCTCGAAATATTAAAATTCTAAGGTGACTCCGAGACTTTGGTTTCGGGGGATATGACTTTCGGGCGACTTGACCGGTTACCGTTCAACCAGAACCACTTCTTATCACGAATGTGAATAATTATGTCCGATACTAGAGCAACTATTTCTATTCATCTTTCAGCTGCTGTGGAACAGGTGTTTAAAATCGGTTCAATGGAACCAGGTGCGATGCTGTTTGATGCATCAAAGGAATTTGAGGTAAGCAATGCTTCACTCTCTCTGGGAAAACGTTGTCTCGGGTAAAAGGCTCAGCCGCCTACCCAAGCGAGTGGTGGATCCAAGGGAGGGGTCAGGATCTTGGGGTGGCACCGCATCCCCTTATCTCAGGGGTCTGAATGACCGCGCTCCCCCTTATCTGAAGGTCTGAACCCTCCACTGCGAGCCACCCTGGGCGGCCTATTGTTGGGTGACCTGTTTTCCTTGGTAAGGTCACCATCCTAGCTGAGCCAACTTTTCTCCATATAATAAAAAATAATCAACTTTATTTATATAGCGCTATTTCAGTCCAAAACCTCAATAGCGCTTTACAGAATTCATAAGAAAGAACAATAATGAATGAAGAAAAACATAGCATGATAATAAAAAGAATACCTGACGAACAACATTAAAGTTTTAACTTGAAGATTCTAAACTGCACCAAAAACTAAATCCCTAACAATTAAGCTGTCGTTATGATTCTTTCGTGTATATTCCTGTAAACAGAAAAAGAGCGCCCGAGCAGAGGAGTACATTCGGATGATCAAAGAACGTCTTCCTGAGGCTGTCCAGCAATGTATCCACGCCGCTGCTGGGGAACATGAGCCTGCAATACAAAGAGGACTGCTGAGGGTGAGTATAGTTTTAGAGGTAGTCATGGTAACCACATGATCTCCTTATGTTCAGTTGCTACGTTTCGATTCTCACAGCAACCCGCCCCCAGGGGGTGGGGGAGTTGTTGACAAGTTTAAGGTTTCTTACACAGTGATTGGTGTTCTGTAAACTGCCAGATAAATTTAGCATTGTTTGAAAAATACATTATCTGTTTTCCGTGGCAAAATCACCACCTCCTACTAAAAATGTTTTGGTTAATCTGCTGAAGATCCTTAGCTTGGGCATAAATCGTTGAACGTGATGCCGTGAAAAGAAAATCTGTACTCAGTATATCTGGGTAATTTGAATTGAAAGCGAAGAGCGCAAATAGTTCGTCCATTATGTTTCTATTTGAGGAGTGTAGTAAGAGACATAAAGGACTTCATTAATACTTTCGACGACGGCGTCATTCAGTGATTTTTTAGTTATACAGGATGAATTGAAAGTATAGCAAATCTCAGCGAGTGGTCAACATTCGCAGATAACACTGCTCTGTTACCATCTACCAAGCGAAGTTTGTAACGTCGCTTGGTTAGAGATTTTAGGCGGGAAATAGTTCTCGTGTAACATGTCATGTGTCCTCGTAGTAACCAACAAGAGTGCTCCGGCGGTCGATGTTGGGGAAAATTCCACCCACAGTATAATCGGGTTTTTTTTTACTGATCTCAGCTGTAATCTTTTCTTCTCTTTGCTAGGCTGCTTCCTTTGGTTAGAGTTTTCTAACTGATATGCCGCCACACGCGTTTTTTTCGATGTGCCGGAATCTTAGAGTGTTAAACGCCGTGCGGGACTACATGGTTGGAATTCCACTTACATATGGACAATATCCTTTATCTTAATTCAAGAGTGAACCAAATTTCAGTTGTTGCAAAAGCCTCGTCTCACAGGTTACGTTTGCCCAATTGCAGCGTGGGTTGCAGCAAGTGTACACTATGCTAGCCTCCGTAGCAACACGAAAATTTTTTTTTATTTTTCGGGTTAATTTGCAATTGCTTAAATTGGAATTTCCGCTGCGACGATCATATCTTCATTGAAACTTGCATTTCCGCAGTTCACATCATCTTCAAGTAAGTTATCATTGCTCTAGTCCCAACACTTTCGACGAACTTGCGCGGAAACTTTTTCTACTTAGTCTAACACTATGCCAGATAGCTCTTGCGTCGGGACAGAAACCATATCGGAGAGTGTTTCTGTCCACACAAGAGAACGGTGATTTTGGTGCGATTTATGTAACGGGGCAAAACTGCGGGGTTTAAATTACTTCTTTTTTTTTTACAGGGAACGAACGAGATATGTCCCTTTTTCTCTTTTTTGAAACGGATATGATAAAAGTACGTTAACACAGTTTTCAATTTTGTGGCTCTTATTAAGTTCTTAAAGTGGGCTCCATTTTGGTTTTTTGTCCTCTGAGAGTACTCTGGTTATTTTCAAAAATTATCCAATTTTGACGCCTTGACGATCGTCTTAGACTGGAAAAAGTAACAATGAAGACCCTTATCAACAGGTGAGTTTTGTTTTTGTCACGCTGTTTGTTATCTTTTTAAAAAAGGTAAAACGTGAAATGCTTAAGCATTTTTTGAGGGGGAGGGGGAGGGGGCGGTAAAAAAGGTGTATTGCATATAGCTGGAAATTTTTTCATAACAGTGCGCGCTCTCATTGGTTTCTCCGAGGTCACATGACCGTTACAGCGAGGGAAGCGAGGTTTAATGAATTTCCAGCTATATAGCCTCGGGAAACATTGAGATTCTCGGAAAACAAATTTAACTGTTTCCCTCGAGACCAGTCATTAAGTGATTAAGTGTTTATTGCACTATGAAACGTTCAATAAGTTCCGAGCTTGAGTTGAGAATCAAACTTACGACCTTTCGAGTTCAAGATCAGGACGCTCTCCCCACTGAGCTGCTGGGAGCTCTATAGTGTGGAGGGTCGAAATTTTTATTGATTATACACCAGACCCGCTATAGTACATAGTACGAAATAGTACTTTTAAGAAAAAAATAGCAAAATGAATATGATGTATGTCCGATAACCTTTCTCTTTTGCCTGACTAAAATGGTAACGTGGTTGAACTTAAGTCATTTCTAAATATCAAAATTATTTATATTCCTAGTGAATATAAAACAAGTTGAAGCAAAGTTTGTGTTTTTTTACTTGCCTACTTTCCGTGTCTAAACTGTGTTTACTACATTGATTTTTCCACCAACAGACCTGGAGATGGAATTATTTCCCTTAAGTTTATTTTATTACCGTTTATTTTCTGCTCATGTAGGCTTGTTTTGAGGCGTCACTACTGTCTGGCCATAAGAATCTGTGATTACTGGAAGATTCCTAAGGGGGAGGGTGCCAGTGGCATCTTTGGACACTTGGCTTGTTATAAAGTGAGTGTAACCAGCGGATACCGGTTGGCTGTTACCTATATGTAAGCAGGGGTCTTCCCGCAATCAGCTTATGGCTGGTAATTAATAAAATTGGTAATGGTGAATTATAGTTGTGGCAGTAGACATGACTGGAGTTGGGTGTCCGGTGGTTGTTTCATGTGCTGAATTTGGCTCATTTCTCTTGGTGTTTGTGTATTTATCAAAGATCACAAAATCAACCTATGAAAAGATCTAGATCAATTAGACTGGATTGTACGCGGTGAAGACAGCGTGGCCAGGCGCCCATCGCGTTGTTTTCGCAATCCGCCCGTCCCGGGTTGGAGTCCCACTATAGCCACTTGCTGAAATTATTCGCGGTACGGTATTTCCAAGTTCAGATACCCAGTCATGCTTGTAAATAACCAACTGGTTGCCTCCTGCCAGTTGGGGTTTTTAATCCTGTTGTGTTCTATTTCCTCAATAAATAAACAGTTGGACTTTCACATGGCTGGGATGAACACATTGAAATTAACTTCTCCGCTCTAGTAGAATACAATAGTGTCCGTAAATAGTTTTTTTTGTGTTGAATATATTGACGTCTCTTTCGATCCTACACCTCTTCAAAACTTGCTTTTCTTGTTTAAACAGGTTCAGCAAGCCAATGTTGATGACAAAGAGATTGCTCGTGCCATCAACTCCAAGCTCGGAGAGACTCCTGGGATATCGTACTCAGAAATAGCTTCAAAGGCAGTGGACTGTGGACGAACTCACCTGGCCATCAAGGTTAGTTGAGAGCATTCACATGTGAACAGTTTTATTATAGATTACGTTCCAAGCACATTTTGAGGCATAAAGCGGTGTCCTCCGTTAGTATTTCCTTGCTAAATGCACTGAGGCTTAAAATAGCGGGGGTTGGTACAGAATGGGATTTTTTTACCTGCGAGATTGCTTTTACTGTAGGTAATCAAGATTTTTTTTTCAGTATCCGGAGTATGAGGACCGCGCTTTGTAATAAGTTCGGCGGTCCGCTTTATTATCAGCAACACCACTATGGTGAAATATTAGTCAATTGTTAAAGGACTCATGTCGAGAAACAAAACGTACGGCTGCAAAGAAGACCAATGGGGGAATGGAATATGGAGAGATTTAACAAATGAGTTGATAAATTAAATACAAACAAGTTTCATGCTCTAGCCCTTCGTCAGAGCGAAGAAGGGATAGCACTCGAAATGTTGCTGCTATATGGCTCCGAGGCTTTCTGGTCATTTTTTCCTTATTGGGTTTGTTTTTTTTTTGTGCTTAATTCTCTTCTGGGAATTTCGAGACAATTGAGTCGTGAAAAATTTTCAATTTTGACCCTAAAGCCTTGGAGTCATGTTAGAATTTTAATATATCGAACGTGGGCCATTGATCAATATAACTTCTTAACTTTCACCATTGTTCTGTCCAGGGGTTACCAACATGCTCGTCTCATAAGACGTCAACAAAACCTGGAACGGACCGGGTCAGATCAATCCCTGTAACTTACTGGATAACGAAAGATAAGGGATAGTGCCTCTGGGAATGATCTGATCCGGTTCTGCGGTCCAGGTTTTGCCTACGGCCTTTCTCGTGGCTTCGCCGCTTGTGCCTCCACGAGGAGACCTGCCTACAGCCTGGCTTAAAGCCAGCCTTGATCTCTAGCTGGAGCAATCTCTCCATAAGTAAGTTCGTCGTTTGACAATCGGTAAACGAGCCTATCATAGCCATGCCATGATAGCCTGTTCAAAGTCCGTCGAGCGCGGGTGATAAAATATAAGCCGCATGGGATTATATTTGAAATGAACGAAAAGAACAATAAAACAACGTCTGTGTACAGGCTATGCCATGATGCATAATGTATCTTTTAAGATACTCACATCTTCGTGGTCTGGTTTTTTACCTGTAGCTGTTGGACTATGAAGCAAAAGCCGCTGACCAAGTTCCACTGCTCATGCGCATGAATAAAGATGACCTAGCGCTCGAGAAGGCCATTATGAGTGGAGACACGGATCTTGGTGAGTTATAAGTGGGTACCACTGCTGAGAACTACAGCTAACTTTGAGTATAGTGGAGGGAACAATTTTTGAAGCGCGTTTTTGTTTCGTGGTAGTCGCAAGAGCCGACTTATAGAAAGATCTATCGTAATGTTGAAATTGTACCAAAGGTTCCAAAAATTTAGAATAAACTCTTTCTCAGCTTAAAAGTTGGCGTTACACCAGCGGCGTTACAAGCTGAGACAGAGTTTCAAACCTTAAAACATTTTTGAGAAAAAAACCCAAAACCCGCCTCCTTGATTTTCCCCTGTATCTAGATGACATTTCATTTGTGTTGTCTTTTTTTTTCTTTCTAGTGTATATGGTTGTTATGCATTTGAAGGATAATCTAACTCTTGGTGAGTTCTTGATGGCCATACGTTACCATCCTGTGGCACTCAGCCTCTACATCAAGGTAAGTCTATGAAAAAAAGTTGTGTAAATGAGTGCGTATTTGTTCAAGGCTTCAACCAAGAGAAAATCCGTCATTATTTGCCAGGAGACATTTTTTCCTTTATCTGTTCATTCTTTAAGGCCATAAAAATGACGTTAAAATGTTTAAAACTTAAGTGGAGGGGTGAGAGGTTTTACGGTAAAGTGTGGAGCATTTTTAATCTTATTTCTTTGAAATGTCGGAGTCGCGGCAGTGAAAAATGGCGACGTTTCTATTTGTTTTTTTCAAGGTCCCGGAGAATCGCACTCAAGAAACAGAGAAGAGAAGAACCTTCAGTTCTGTTTCTCTTCTCTGTACTGTCATAAGCAAAAGTTCTCGACCAATCGGGGCGCGTAAATCACTCGGTTATTGTAAATCGTTAGACTGTGTGGCAGGCGGCTTAAGAGGTATTGAAAAAAGTGAAAAAGGGAGGGGTAAAGGGAAGAGAAAAAAAAAGACACCTTTTTTCATTTTTGCTTCTTTTCCCTTTACTCCCGTCCCCCTCTTCTCTCGTTTTTGCACCTGTTACGCAAACTACCACGCAGGCTATTGTGAAACCTATATATTCACTTTGGCATGACTGTGATTCGTCTGCAGTACTGCAAGGATCAGGATCGCCGTACACTTGTGGACCTGTTCTACCAGGATGACCAGTTTATGAACAGTGGTAATGCCTTTGTGCAGGACAGCTACAGTGAGAAGGTATCACATAAAGTAGCTTGCATGCTATCATGCTTAGGAGGGGATCTGGTCGAATGTTGTTTTATTATTTTATTTCTTTAATATGTAATTTCAATTCTGAGCAAAGGGGTGCGTACGCTTCACTCCGTTTCTTCATGGCATCATAGATTATTTTTGTTTCCGTGACTTTAGGTGACTACAAAGCTCCCCTCAACCTTATTGCCGGGACGTTTCCCCGTTGGAAAATGGGATAAACCCCTGTGAACGAATGGTCGGCAGCAATCTTGTTTATTTTGAGCGTCAGGAGGAGCCAAGAATACGTGGAGCAACTCTTATTTGTAATTTAACTCGCACATTTCTCGTGTTTAAACTCGAAACCTTTACAAAAATTCGTTCTAATCATAACCAGTGATATCTAGTACGCATGCGCTAATTGTTCCCGTCTATTTCTTCGTTGTAAATAGTGGCCCTCAATGCATGCAGCGACCACGTGACCAAAGGAGACATAAGACTACAAGTTATGTGTTATTTTTCACAGGGATCGTACAGCGAACAAAGCGCGCGCGCCTGAAAATCGCAGCTCTGTAGGAAAGGCCGTCACGCGAAGGGTTAATTATTAGTTGCGTCACGCCTTCCGGTCTCTCTCCCAATCTGCTCCGCAGAGCTTTTACTAACCTTGTCTGGCGGAGCGGTTACTTTTAGTCCTGAACCAAAAGGATCACATCCTTGGAAAAGAGATTGGCGCTCACCATATTATTCCTTGAGAAATAAGAGGAAATTCGTTATCTATGAAATGTTGCCGGCCATAGAATAGAATCATCGTTTTGATATCTCTTGTCACTACACTTGACATAAAATCTGATTTTCTTCTATTTTTATTATTTAGACAATAGAATCCAAGATGAACACATTGTCCAAAGCACAGATGTCTTACCAGCAAGGAGGATTTCAGTTCTACTCGAAGGTGTGTGCTCTTCACTTTGTTGCTTTGATTTAAAATACTTCAAACTCCTTCAACGCTAGAGCCACTCATTCCTTACTATGTGGAGAAACAGAAGACGGACGTTATGTCTTGTCTAGTAATCTAGGATACGGGATAAACTTGCGATAGTCGAACCAAAACCACCCAGGAACTCTCCACTCCTCTAGCTGTGTTTGATTAACAAATACCTTGACTGTACTCTGAACTGATATAAATCACGCAGGAGGAAGCGCCGGGCTAGGGTACAAAAGGCCGAGTTTAGAGGGAAGCCTGAGACTTAGTCGACAGTGTTGAGTTATCCCTACTTCTTAAGTGCTTTGTAACATAACAAAGCACAGTAAAGGTTTCTTTATTGGTTTTATGATAAAGAATCCGTTAAATTCGCCACGCATTACTTTCTAATTTTCAAAACAAACTATTGGCAGATGGCGTGAAAGCTGAAGCTCCGTGTTTTATACCCTGATAAACACGCTTTGTCATCCAATCAGAGTGCGCGTTAAAAGAGTGTTTTCACATGATGTCATGGCGGCCATATTGGTGTCCCAAACCAATCCTCTGGGAGTTGAACTCTTTTCTTTATATGCAAACGCTATCTTTTGTTCCAACAAATTTGCGTAGATGCTGGCCACGTGAGTGAAAACACTCTATACTGATCTGAACTATATTATAAATATTAACAAAACATTTCTTGTCAGTGCTGCATTGTATGGACGCACGATTCAATTTTCCAGGCAAGAGAAGAACAAATGAAACTCATGGAATATCAAGTCAAACTTGAAGAGAAGTACTGAAAGACATTTGTGGACCTGTCTTTGAGTGATACTATCTACCAGGTGCGATAAAGACACTAAACTGTGTTAGCCTTTACCGTGGATTTTTAAACGTTCACGGTCTGAGCTTATTTTTAAGGTGTAATGATCAGTACAGTTGGGCAGCTGGATCAATTGAGGTTTCTAGGTAACTGACCACTTCCCTCCCCCCAGGGCTCAAAGTTTGCGACTAACTGGTCGCATATGCGACTGGATTTTTGGTTGTGCGCCTAAAAATTCTTCTATAATCGCACCTGTGCGCCGTAAAACCCAAACCACAGTGCGACTGACTTACTTCAGACTATACTTACGAACTCGAACTAGAAAGACGGTGTATGTTTAATAGGTCTTTTCTCCCAATGGATTCTACGAACTGGAATGTTCTTTTTCGTTTCGATGTTTTACTCCATCCCCGACTCTTCTGTTTTGTAATAAACACCGCTGACATATGCAAATATATGCTACGAACCAAACACGTATTTTTTGCGCAATGGACGACCATGTCGAACGTTCAGTTTTAACGTCAATCAAAACAAAAACAGTGCGGATTAAGAGCCTTTTTTTCCAGGTAAGAAAGTTTTTTAAGTCGTATTCCAGTTACATGTAAGTCATTGCGCATTTAACAAATTCATGAAAGATTAATTTTCATTCTCGTTCGACACACTCATTGTCACAGTTTTGAATTGTTTTTCAAGTGTAAGTTTTCTTTAGTCACAACTGTACTGTCAAAAAGAGAAAATAGTATTAAAAATCCCAACGGTGTTACTGCATAGCAAATCGGCTGTGTTTTATCAACCACAGGACTGAAGTAAAAGTAACAAACTGAAGATGACAATTAAACGTGGCACTGTTAAGCTTTTTACTTTTTCTTTTGAAATAGATGCTCCCAACATTATAAGCTGTGCTCCCAAAATTTTCAACTGTTCGCCTAAAATTTCGGCAATGCGCCTAAAAAATGACATCTGGTAGCACAAGTGCTCCCAAACTCAAATTTAAACTTTGAGCCCTGCTCCCCCGCCCACCCTCCCCCGTTAAGTCAAGAGTAACACTTTTTCCTTACTTAGGGCAAAATTGTAACTTAGGGGAGGGGTAGGTAGTCAGTTACTCAGAAACGTCAATTAATACAAAAAGCTCTGAAAAGTAGCTCTCATTTGAATGATCAAAATTAAGCTGTCATCAATATAGTCAAATGTTAATACTACCTTTAACAGCTTAATAAACAGTGCCGCTGGAAATCTTTGTCAAGTACAAGCTTTCATTCGAATGGCCATACTAAAGATTGTCAAATGTTAGAAGTTGAAATCAACAGTATACGCTGGAATCTCTCAGATCTCTGCTCAGTAGCTTTTGTTAGGATTGTTATTTTTAAACTATTATCTAGACTTGGTAGTTAAAACCAAAGCAAAGTAAACCGCGGTGGAAAGTACTATTAAAAATAGCTTTAGTTTCTTCATGATTGTCACAGGTTTAATTCCCATACACTATCATTAGTTTCTAAGGATTACTTTACGCTTTTCAGTGCATACTTCAAGGAGACTTGAAAGCCGCTGAGCAACTGAAAAAGGAGTTCAAGGTTCCAGATAAAAGGTTTGTAACATTTTTTATATCAGAGATCGTAAACAACGAGACCTTTGACATCTGAGGGCCCTTTTTTGAAACAACCTTCAGCTACACCATATTGAACAAAGGCTTACTTGTTCACACTACTGATTTGTAGCCTGTGTGGTTTACATTTGAAGGGGAAGGGAAATGTGGGAATTAGGGCGCGTTAGGGAGGAGGAAATTTAAACGCAGTCGTTTAGGAAAACATTGGACTTCCAGATCCTTTTCTTAAGGGGTTAATTGAAGAAAATAAGTGGCTTTCCAGTCTACACTATATACTTTCTTCAAATTGTTCACTAAAAATGGTGTTTAGATAAAAGCGTTGAGCAAACTGAAAATGGCCAAGAACGCGGTTTTGTTAAACACGGGTTAAATTCCGTTTAAACAACTGGCCCAAATGGTCTCTCTACTTTCATCCTCGCGCGTCCATCGCGTTCTCGTTCTCACACGGGCTGTTTTCAAAATAGCCTGTACTATGTAGAGCTAAGGATTGCTTGGTCACACCCTGATTCGTAGTCTATGTGGCAAGCATTTGAAGTGGAGTGAAAGAGGGGGTGGGGATAAGGGCGCGCGAGGAAGGAGAGAAGAAAGAGTTTCCGTCCTTTCCTCCTCGCGCATTCATCGCGTTCTCGTTTTCACGTGGCCCGTTTTCGAAATAGCCTCTCGTTGCACCACGTAGACCTTATGTTTGCTAGTTAAAACCACTGATTTGTAGCCTGTGTGGCAGGCATTTGAAGGAGTAGTGAAAGCACGGGGAGGGAATCAGGACGCGCGAGGAAAAATAGCAGACAGGGTTTTCTTCCCTTCCTCCTCGCGTGGACATCGCGTTCACGCGCACCTCAGTTATTCCTCCTTTTCCTACCCCTTCAAACTCCTTCCTCATAGTTTAGCTCATTTGCCGCATTGTCTTGTCTTTAGGTTTTACTGGCTGAAAGTCACAACTGGCTGGAACTCAACAAGTTTTCCAAAGCTTGTAAATCTCTAATTGGATACGAGCTAAGTTCATTGACAGTGTTTTCCGAAATAATCAAGCAATGTGCTCAACTAGGGACAGATACGTGCAAAGCTAATCCTTTAAACCCTAAAATCCGGACTCACTTACGCAGGTAATTTGGGACCTTACAAAACTACCATAGCGACGGCAACGGAAAGGCCTAAAACACAATAGGTTAATGAAGGAGCGGAACAACAGCTCTACACGTCCATCACCCTTTTTTGTAATTTTTTTTTTGCCTTTCCCACACATCTACGATAGGACATGACTAAATTTTAGAATTTTGAGAATGGAACTCCCGCTACCTTCAACTCCAACCTAATTTCCCTTCTTTTAAGTAACTAGACGAATTGAAATGATGCGAAGTCAATTTTTCATCGACCTTTTCCATTGGCGTCGCCGTTATCAGATCGTAAGTTAGGGTGGTTAGGGTCTACGCCTTGTTACGGCGGTGGTCAAAACAAGGATAAGTTTGTGACGAGAAAAAAGGAACCGGGAACGGCTTTGTACCAGAGTCGAAGGTTTCTACAACGGCTCCCTTGAGAGCAAAGTGCCTTTTTTAGAGGAGTTGCCATTGTGAGGAATAAGGGGGCATCTCGGAACACTCCGGAATACCCCCCGGAACATCCCCCGGAACCTGGCAGTAAGTAAAATGAAAACACAAAAAGAAACCCTAACCCCACTGTGTAAGATATTAAAAGTTTCTAGCGTGAATGTATGGATTGTCTGGCGGAATAATAATCATGGTCGTCTTGGACAGATGGCGATTGGAAGATTCGTCGGTATTTATCTAAAAGCATTTATTTCTTTTTTATTAAAGGCTACGCTCATGAGTTCCCATGACTATAACATTGTAGTGTGAAGACGCTGTAAACTTTATTTACATTGCTTTTTTATAGCCATTTTTTGAAGCATGCCTGTAATCCAACAACAGAATAGAAGCGGAGAAATATGTCTCCAGAGTTTTTCCCGAAAATAAAGTGACGTGTTATGTGAGTTTATCAGTTCATTGAAGTTCTTACTTTACTCAAACGCTGACTAAACAAACTTACCTTGTGTAGTGGTCACTTGTGGTGCGACTATGCCGTTCATCCTTTCACCCCAGAACTGAAGGGCGCACTAAATCCGCTGACCACAAAACCCTGGGCGTATACAAATTCGTAAGTGATTGGGAACAATAACTCGAGTTCTGCACTGCTAATTGATGCTACCCCGAGAAAATAGCTGACATTTTGTGATTCCGCCATTGGTTTCCTCGCGAACTGGTCTGAAGAATGTTTGCAGATATTCCATACTGATATGACGTGTAGCTTTCTATCAG